AAATTATCCAGTTCTGGATTCGAAGAAAACAGAGGTTTTTCTGCGCGAATCTATATACAAGTGAGAAGGAGAGGGGAGCAAGAGGGGGGAGAAAAGAAAGAAAAATATTGAAATCGGGTGGCCCTCCTGGTTTCGTGCCTTGTGACACTGACGGGGGCAGGACTCCGTGGCTCTGTACCACGCAGAAACACTGCAGTGTGGACCAAGTGGAGAACGAGCCTAGGGCTCAGCCTTACTCTTGTACCGACTATGCTTCTCGGGATGCTGCTCAGCTCGCCAAACCAAAGCAGCTACAGGGCATGCAGGGCGTGATTTTATTTCACCGACTGAGCTTTCTGCCTCAGCCTCTGGTGGGTGAGTGGGTTTAAAGATGGGTGAAGTTATCTGCAAACACACTTCTATAGGAGGGAAATTTCAAGGTGCATGCAACACACATCGCTTAGGGTAGACTATCTGCTGACTACTTTTGGAAATGTGCTCACCGTGTGTGTGTGTGTGTGTGTGTGTGTGTGTGTGTGTGTGCGCGCGCGCGCGTTGCGGGGAGAGTCCCTTTTTCTTTTACTTAAAAAAATAACATTTATTTTGCTGACCTGTTTGGCGAACACGGCTATATCTTCATTGAATGACTCTGAAGAGCAGACGTCCCCACCCGCCACCCCCGGCTCGCGGGGGGTACACGTAGCTAATTCACATTTCTCAAAAATCAGTGCTAAGAGAGGGAAGAGGGGGTGTCTGAAAGAAAATACAAGTCACAAACAACACAATGGTTAGTCTCGAGTCAGGGGAAAAAGGCGCCCAAGAAAAATAGCCGGAGCTCGAGGCAGAAAACCCCTCCCTGGTTTTGCCATCTACTTTTTCCCCTTTCCTGCCCCCCCGCCCAGGTGACTGCTCACCTCCCCTTCCTCCTGGGGCTCTGAAGTCGGAGGCCCTGAGCCCGTGGACCGTATCTGATGATCAGTTCAACATATCTGGCCAGAGAAATTGGCAACATTTGCTACGAATCAAACCCCAGCGGTTCCAGCAGCCATTTTGAATTAAGTTTCCCACCCGGGCAAACCCTGGTCCCCGGGCCGGCCGGGCAGGACCTGGCGAGGGGAAGGCGCCGAGC